GTTAGATGTACTATAGACAGACGCACTATATGACCCAGCAATTCCACTGTTAGGTATCTACCCAAGATAAATGAAAACGTTCAAATCACCTCTCCACACAGACTTGTATGTAAATGTACACAGTAGACTTATGCATAATGGCCAGAAAAGTGGAGATGATCAAAACGTCCATCACTGGTGAACTGATACACACTGCTCCATATCGCTCCGTGGAATATCACTCAGCCATAAAAAGGAATGAAGTACTGACGCCTGCTACAGGCTGGATGAACCGCGAACGTATTATGCTAAGTGGGAGAAGCCACTCCCTAAAGACCATGTAGTGTACGGTGCCACTCTATGAAATTTCCAGAAAAGGCAAATCTGCAGACACAAAAGCAGATTGGTGGTTCCTGGGCCTGGGCTGAGAAGGGGAGTGGTCGCAAGTGGGTGCAAGGCTCCTCTCTGGGGGATGGGAACGTTCCAGAATGAGGTTGGAGTGAAGGCTGCACAGCTCTATAAAGTTACTGGAAACCATTCCATGTGTACTCGAGAGTTAACTCTGTATACAGGCGCACACGATATACCGCAGTAAAGCTTTTTGAAAGCATCTCTGCGGCTGTCTCTGCAGACACAGTCAAAGGTTTTTGACTCTGAAGGAATCCCCTCAAGTCAAATTTGCCCCAAATACCACAGATATCACAGGACCAGGGGGCTTACGTTAACACACATCTCAGAAGCATTAAAACCAAAAGCGCCCTGTGGGAGGACCCCGGGAGCAAGGCCCTCTCTGCCAGCCGGTGGGAATTTGCCTTTGGGTGACACTCCCTCTGGTCTGAAGGTGTGGCTGACTCAGAGCGCGTGGACCACAACCAAACACGCAGTTAAGGTCAGCTACCCTGTTGGCTGCTTCTGGAGAGAAGAGCTGGGAATTCTCCAAGGTACAAACTCCAGGCTCACCTGGCGGCAGGTCAGGACAACGCGCCCTGCAGACGACACAGGTGAATATACACGCACGGGTGCTTGGCCTCGGAACCTCGTGAAGGCGAAAGAACAAAGAATGAAAAACGGACAGAGCACATCAAAAATGGCACAAACACGGACACAACGTACGTACATGGGCTCTGGGTTACATAGGACGCCGCTCGCGGCCGCAGCGGGTTTTGGGCCGCGAGGGGAATGGCTGAGGAGGGGACGTGGCTGGTCTTCTGTCCACTTAGCTCGGAACTGGCTGGATTTGTTTCTAAAATCTGCATGTATTAATTTGGTAAATTAAAGAGCAAAGATGAAGCAAGTGGGAGTGTGTGTGGCTGAGTCATCGGCACCTGCCTGGGAGAAGGCCCAGCTGCGTCCCGTGGGCCCTGACCACCCGGCAGCACTGATCAGAGCAATCTGGTGACGGAAGCCTTCATCCTGCTCACCGCCTGTTGGGTCCTGAGCCTCCCATCCGCACGAAGACGGGATCAGCCCTGTGAAGCAGGTGACGGTCTGTCCCGGGAAGTTGGCACTGGTAAACCACACGATGGGCCGAGCCTGGTTGTTTTCAAAGGTGGATTAGCCTTTCATCCTGAAAGGAGCTGTGCCCACAGCACCCGTGGGGGGACACCCCTGCCAGCCTTCCGTTTATAACCTCCCCTCCTCTGTGAACAGTGTAGTTGTCTTAAGGCTTCTTGCCCCCAGCGACTGCCTCTATAAACAATTCTTTATTCTCTCCGTGTGACCGTCCTGGGCACAGACATCGAGAGCAAATTGCCTGGTGCCTCTGACCCAGGGTTCCCGGGGGCCTGAGGTGGAGAGGCTCACAGTGGAGATGGAATATTTTCCATCGTCAGAGGCTGGAGACCACGGGCCCTGGAGACACATCCAGCTTCCAGCCTGTTTGGTTACAGCCCTCAGGCTAAGGATGGTTCCCATATTTTCAAATGCTGAAGAAAAGTCAGAAGAAGGTTTCATGACATGTGAAAATGATATGAAATTCGAGCTTCGGTGTCCGTACATACAGCTTCGTGGGAACAAACTCACCCCCTCCTTTGCGTATGTGGCCACAGGAGCAGAACTCAGTAGTCGTGATAGAGACGCAGGACCCTCAACGCCTAAGGATGTACTCTCTGGCTCTTTCCCGAAAACTCTTGGCGACCCCTAGCTTAGCGGCTGACCCCGGCTCCAGTCTTTGGTAGTAACAGCACAGGAGGCTTGGGGTTGAAGTTCTCCTTAAAAGATTCCAGTGAATGGGCCACTCGGGCGGGGGGGGCGGTCACTGCAGCTGCCGGCAGAGCGTAACAAGCTGCTTCTGCAATTAGCCGAGGTGCCACGTGGCGTATTCAGAGTCTCGGACGTGCTGCACAGCAGTTACGGGACAGTATCATCCCCAAAGCACGGTGTGATGTGCACCGCTCATTTAATAATAGCTTTCTGGAAAAAAAGAAACATCAATTGCATAAACATGCTAATTCTGGAAACGCTAATGGGAATGTATGTGAGTTACCTTTAATGTGTTGCCTCACCCCCTGGAAAGGCGGCTTCCTGGGGACTGATGGGTCTGTGTCCTGCTCAGGTTTGCAACCCAAGGTTCTCACGGGGCTCCAAGACGTCAGGGGCCCTGAGAGCAGGGTTTTGAAATCACTAGTGGGTTGTGACATCCTTTCGGTGGACCGACTTCTGGCATTTTGAAAATGAAATAGGACAGAATAGGAGTTATAGATCAGAACAGGAAGACAGATTAAGCGAGGACGTACGCATCACACAGAGGGAGTTTCCCTTCCATGCATGCCTGACGGCTGCTGGAAACATCTTTCTCACCGTGGGGTGCGGTAAAGCAAGTCTGAAACCCCCGCCCTGGTGGATGTGTTTGAGCTGCGCTCGGCGGGTACGTTTAACAGCAGCCGTGATGTGTGATACAGGGTTGCACAGATGCACTGGGGCAGGGGGAGCTGGGGGTGGCCCGTGAGGACCACCTCACCCCAGTCAGCACCTCCCCAGCACCGGCCGTGGGCTTTACACTCGGCCGAGAGCCGTGAAGATTGCAAAGCAGCGGATGCCACACGTTCCCGCCCTTGGGACGCTGACAACCTATTGGGGAGCAACGCTCGTGCCCACAGATCAGTAACAAAAGCTCAGGGAGGCTTAGCCGCCCTGGAGAACAGCTCTGGTCAGAGGTGGCAAACAGGCCTGCCTGGAAAAGGGTGCTGGATGACGGCCCAGTGAGGTAGATATTCTTCATGGCTCAGTCAAGACAGAAGACTTCCCAGCCAGACTGCAGCCAAAGCCCCCGCCCCCGGGGCTGAGGGGGTTCCCCCTCTCCTCCACTCTCCACTCGCGCCCGCTCCCAGCGCCCCTCGGGGGCTTCCTTCTCACCTGGGCACAGTCCCTGGTGCAGACGAGCAATCCCATCAACTCTAATGATAAATTGACGAGTGAAGAGATTTGGTGAGTCGTTGCTCAGTTAACGTCTAACTGTACGAATGGCGAGCTTTAAACGTGCTTTTAGGTCTGAGATGAGAAGCTGGGGCAGCTCGGGAGAATTCCCTGTTCCAGGTGCTTTTGGAAGTGAAACAGGTTCCTGGGAAAAGTGTAAGTTTTCTTCAACCCCATCACGGAGGCCCACCAATACAAGACGGCCGTAAAAGAAATCCACAAACAAACTGCTTAAAAAAATCTTAGAATATCTGTCATCTCTATGAGTTTATGCCTTTACACAAACTAAGACCTTGAGTTTTACAGAGACCCCAATCCAGGGTCTGGCCCTGCCCATCTCTGTGTTGTGCGAACCACCCGTCGGAGGCAGCAGCTCAGGAACCGTTGTTTGAATCCAGCTGGTTTATTTCATTCCATTTTGTAGCAACTGAATGTAGATCTGAGCTTTGCTTTTTGAAAGGATGGCTTTTTCCTTCAGGTAAGATACTTGGTGAGAGTCAGC